AGGACAATTAACCAGTGGAACAGCTTGCCACCAGAAGTTGTGGATGCCTTCATCACTGGAGGCTTTGAAGGAGAGACCTTTTCTGAAATGGCACAGGGTCTCCTCCTTGAGCAGGGGGTTGGACTAGAGGACCTCTAAGGTCCCTTCCAGCTTATTCATTCCATCCCAACCCCCAGGATGTGATGGACGAGGGCTACATAAACCATAATCTACACCCACCCCGGTTGTGGAGCCAGACCAACTGGGGGAGGAGATGGGGACTGTAATTCCACGCTGGGAAGGGCTCCAACTTGGGGAATGAATGAATTAAAGGGAGGGAAAAGACATAATTAAAACGTCTTATAAACAGGGGACGGGGGGGGGGGAGCAAACCATAGAGCGTCGCGTCCTCCCGTGGCTAGAAAGCCTCCCGCGCCTTTTCTCTTCCCACCCCACCGCTCCCCGCAGGAGAGAGGATGGAGGCGGCTCGGATTCCGGCTTCAGCCCCCCCACAGCTGGCCGTCCAGCCGTCCTTCCTTCCTCGGGCTCCTTTTCTTCGATCCAAGGCGAGCCGCGATTCCCTCACATTTCCTTCCCGAGGCCCCCGGTAGCCATGGCAACCCGCCCGCCGCGAACTCCACTTCCCAGGCTGCCCCGCGCGCGGGCGCGGCTCCCTATAGGGCGGCGCCTCCCCGTCCCGGCGTGCCTTGCGCCGGCCTCTCCCCGCTCAGCCAATCAGCGGCGAACAGGTCGCGAAGGGGGAAAGGAGGAGCCAAGATGGCGGCGAAAGTCGGTGGCGGCGCGGGAGGCGGCGGCGGAGCCAACAAGAACGGGATCCTGGATAAGGTAGCGGCCCTCGGCCTCCGGGTCCCCGCGCGGGTGGAGAAGGCCCGTTCCGGGACGAGGCAGCGAGGGCGGCCGGGGTGAAGGCCTCCCCGGCCCGGGTCTGCCTCAGCAGGGTCTCCCTAACCCAAATAAGCCGGCTTGGCTCTCCACGTCGCCCCGGGAGCTGAGGGTTCCGCTGGGCCTCGGGAGAGAGAGCAAGGCCTAGGCTCCGCTGGGATAACCCTGCACCTGTCAGAACGGCGGGGACTACAACTCCCAGAATGCACAGCCCGTCGGGAGACGCAGATGTGGGGGGTGGGGGGGTGAAGGAGCTGCTTGTCGCTGATTGGCCAGCTGGGAATTCTAAGAGTCCGCATTCACACGTGTTGACCCCTGGGATCCTGCAGGGAGAGCCTGGTTCTCCCTTCGCTTAGGATTCGTTATTTATTAGTTTATTCATTTAGTGCTTCATCCCGTATGTGTAGAATTGTCCACGTATTTCTTTCATTTATGTCTGTGTATCTGTTGATGTTTTATCTACCTTGATATTTGCGCTGGTACTACAGGTAGTCCTCGACTTTCCATGGCTCGTTTAGCGACCGAAATGACATATACGGACAACAGTGACTTTGGGCCATTTGTCGCACTTAACAACCATTGCAGGATAGCAATAGCAGTTAGACTTATATACCGCTTCCTAGGGCTCTCAGCCCTCTCTAAGCGGTTTACAGAGAGTCAGCATATTGCCCCCAACAACAATCCGTGTCCTCATTTCACCCACCTCGGAAGGATGGAAGGCTGAGTCAACC